ATTTAGACTATATACTTGCAAGGTTGAAAGCTTGTTGCACCAAGCATCCGTAAAAGTGTAGAAATGTACAAATAAGTCCCACCTTTCTAAGATGTTTTCTTGCAGGTTTTAGTAGACATGTGAACCTTTCCCAGGTCACCAATTTCCACCCTTATATATGTTTTAACATATTCACATACACATACAAAAAAACAACAACAACCACAAAATAGGGAATCTTTCTAAAACAAAACCAAGACAGCTTTTTTGGCTTGAATGTCTACATACAGATAAGACAAACTGTCCAGACTTGGTAACAAGTTCACATTCTCCAAATACTTTAGTTTCCCACAAACCCCAATTTAAACATCCAACAAGGACATGCTTTACAACTAAAACGTGTTATTATATACATGTCTGCATATAAGGCTTCAGTTGAGACCTCTAAGGATTGCTAATGGGTTTAAAGTGCTTCTTATGCTTGCAAACAACGTATACATTTTGGAGTAATTGAGATCTGTTATACACAATTACGCATATTGCCAATTTAATGTTCTTTAATGTTGTTATATCTCTACCTCAAACATGCAAATCTTGCAGAGGCATGAAGCTCGAGGGTCTTTGGAGTTCAAGTAGGGATTTTTTCAGCACACATTACTGAAGCCAGAAAGTGGCCTCCTCGTGGCTGAGGTCCAGAGATGCTGGCCTAGTGGGCAGACTGACAGTGGGAGACGATACAGAGAACAAGAGGAGAGAGGGGGAAAGAAAATGGAGAAAACAGACATTCTGCAGAATTCACACACACGCAGGAGTATTACAAGTGCTCTTTCAGTGGATCAGTTAGCACTCACTCTTGTGAAAACACACACTGGCATAATTCCTTTTACACAAACACACATGTGGAAAATTCACATACAGTATGCACTAGACATAAAGACACCTAGTTTATTTCACATATACACACAAACCTGACACAAACATGGAAAAAAACATGAAACACATACAAAAACACAACAAAACGCGAGCAGGGCACCACATACTTTTCCACTTTGACTCAAGTGCTGGTGAGAAAGCGAGCGAGTGGTCTGTGTAGACAGGGCCCATTTTTCTCTTTTCCTGTGGTCAGAGTGTGTGACTGGGGATTTATTTTCGCACATCTCTGGAGGGAGGTTACTGTTTTTGCTGAATTTGAAACATCTGAAGTATCCGAGGCCCCCGTCCCGTCCTGTCCCGTCCCTGTTCCACATTAGAGAAATGGCTCATTCATTTGGACCTGTCAGACTGCATAATGGTTCTAAGATTGTGTCTGCTTACTACTCGTCAAACTGGGTCACACAAACCCTCGCCCCTGATCTCATTATGTCATTTACCTTCTTTCTATTTCCATCTCCTGCGCTCAATCTCTGTAAAGGTAAGAACTTAATTGACAAAAAGTGCAAGTGATTCACTTAAATGTTAAATTAAATTAGACATTAGCCTCACATGAGATACATGTTGCATGCAGGTTTCTTGTCAGAAAGACCATTATGTAGAGGCGGAAAGATGAATAGCGAGCGGATATTGCCTTGGGCTGGGCTGTTTGACACATGGCTGCCTGGGTTTACTTTGCGTCCTACAGGTAATAATTTGCTATAATGGCTACTGTAAGACCTGTCTGAAACTAAAATGAAATGTTTCAAGAAGTGTTTTCCCCTGCATAACAATGACCTGTGCATTGTTCTGGGGTTCAAAGTGAAACGTTACCCCGGCCACTCTCCAATAACACAGCGAGCGCAAGAAATCCTGACCCCCAGAAAGTAGTGTAATGACAGTTGGTGATAATTTGCCATCTACAGTGACACTGCTGTGTTGAGTTATAAACATTTACTGCTGATAGCCTCTTTTGTACGTAAAAGTCTTAATCTCTCTGCCTCTGAGCTCATATTACATTCAGAGGAGTAAAATGGGTGTTTTGTGAGTTGAAAACAGGCCCAATTTGAAACAGACCCGCTCTTTTTGACTCTGGTCCACTTAAGGTAATTGAATTTGACTCTTGAATTTCTTTCTGGTACTGGCTCTAGTTGCTACATCACTGACTTTACATTCAAACTGAGAAGAAGCAAAGTCCTTATCTGCTTGCTTCCATACTAGAACAATAATATCCGTTTCAAAGTCATGTAGAAAACCACAAGGGTGCAAAACACACTTATACACACACACGCACAAACACATTTCTCTCCTAAAAGACCAATAAACATTGGGGCCAGCAACCCTAGAGAGAAGTTTACCAATTTAGAGAGGGCTGGTTCAGAACTAGGCCAGATATTCTCAGCCTCGCGCACATTTCCACTCCTTTGGGCCAATAGTTTTGTTTGTGTACTTGTATAACTTTTAAAAGACAGAGACAAAGTCAAAACTTCTGCACAACTGATCCATTTATGTGTGTAAGAGAATCATTATTTTTTTAAGCCATCCTGGTGGTGAAACCCAAATGCAATTTTGACTCAGACTAAAATATAACAACTGCTAGATCGACTAGATGAATGGCCATAAAACCTGGTACAGACCTTCCTGTTCCCAGACAATGAATCCTTGTAGTTGGTGATCCCCAAACTGTTCATCTAGCCATTAAACTGACATTTCTGTCTAAACAACCATTGGCTACCATTTATTTTCCCTACCGGATGTCATTTGATAACTGGAGGTAATGTTTGTAGGCCCATCATTAGGGTCAAAACAGTACCTTTTCCAATACTTACTTATGATCAAATACCTTCAGTGTTCATTAGCAAACATTAGCATACTAACATGTTAATTCAACATGGTACACACGGTAAAAAGGCTAAATATCAGCAAGTTTCCATTGTGGGTTTTCTCCTGAAGTTTTTCCTTGTACGATGTGAGGGTTATTAAAATCAATGTTGATATGGCGTAATTTGAATTAAATACACTATTTGATTTAAATCAGTTTTATTCTGAAAAACCGAAAGTTCTCACTATTAGTTTAACACTTTTATTCTGAAAATTTGTCACTTCCGGTTAGCATTTAGCATCTGGCGGAATCATACGATTTCAAACCTTGAACCAAGGTGAAATGACATGTGATGTTGTACACTGAGCACACTGGGATTAGCACTCATTTATTGACGCTGAATAATGTGTAGCAGGGAATGTTTAAATAACCACAGACGCCAGAATGATGCAATTTAGATACAGAAAAAGGCAGGAATTGCATTGGACCCGCCCCCCGACGACGCCGGCCAATAGGAGAAGACCTCAGATGACAACAGGAAGAGCAAGCCAAGAATTGATCTCTTCGACCCCCTGACCTGAACTGACCGGTCGGATGTGGAGAGCGCCTCCACTCGCACATTTCATTTTGTACACCACCGCATCTTTTGTGTAATTAAATGCTTTAACTTTTATAAGCTTCCCTTGACTCTTTTCAGTCTCTCCTGCCTTCAGGGTTCTAGAATTGCTTTCAGTAGTCTTATTGTAAAGTGGTACCGAAATCTCTATGTGGTAGCATTAAACGCCTTCATCACTCTCTAGGCCAAGTTGCTACCTTTCTTTCTTCTCCATTAATCAGAAATCTGAATGAACATGACAGCATTTCAGTTTCTTAATGTAATAGAGCACTGCTGGAGAAAATGGCCTCTCAATTTCAATCATCAAGGTGGAAGTGAAGCGTCTGAAGAGGCAGAGCAGGAGAGTGGCATACAATCAACGCATTACTGAGACGGTCCACACGTAAGAGGCCTGCTTTGTTCTAATGGAATCTAATGATGGCCACATGGATACATGAATATTCCCAATTTAAAAAGTCTATTTCTGTACACAAAACGCTGAAATGAAAAGACAATAATTGGACGTTAATTGGACTCATTATAGAGCCTCATTCATATTCAACTGTTTTTATCTTAATGTTGCAGCTGTAGCGGTGCCTGTGTTGAGATGGAATACTGTTAACAAAAATAGACTCAAAAGGGCGAGACAGGCTTGGTACATCTGCACCTTGAGAGTCACTGTCATGTTTGCCGCTGCATCTAAAGGACACAGGCAATGCTTTATGAATTCAAGGGTGGTCATCTATGCTGATAGGAGAATCCTTTTATCAGCGAGCTAAAAATAGCCCCGGCGGTTACCATCGGCTTAAAGTGGATATTTGAACTGCTGTGTGCCGGCATGCCTGCGGAGAAAAGGGGAAATTGTACCCATACGTGACGAGAATGTCTGAGGGATCAAATGTCTTATTTTCCTTCTAAATTATGTATTATGATATGACAGGTGCTATCAGATTGTTTGTGGGTGTCTGGGCATGTGCATGCGTGGGAAAGAGTCATAGATGCAGGTTGACAGGGTGACTAAAGATATTGTTCATCAAAACCAATATTTTTGATCTAAAATAATAAGTGTACTGGGTAATCGCAAAAATGTGAACTAGCATTTTAAAGCAAAAATGATATATCTAGAGGGTGTCCATGAATATAGATTGGTTGATTGGTTAAAGGAAAATAGTTCCTACATGAAATTGCTCACATATACTGTAGGTCTGTGGATTATCTCAAGTAACTCTGTTCTGAGTTTTTCCAACTCTTTTATTTGCGCTTTGAACCTGACAAGTCAAGTGCCATCTAGTTTAACTATTTTTGAGAGCAAATAGCACTACAGGTAAGAGGAAAAGTATTTTGTTTTTGAGGTAAAATGTCCCCAACTAGCTAGGAAACGTGTAGAAGGATGCTTTCATTGACAGTTAAATGACAGCCTATGGAGGAAAGGTTCACCCTTGACATGTTTTCGTTTGGATATTGGGAGTTTTCCCATACATTTGGGTTTTAAATTATCAGAGAGGCTGCCTGGTTTGACTGACAGTGTTGCAGAGATGTGAGTGACCTCTAGCATTGCTGAGCCTGCTGCTTTTGAAGTGGCTGCATGCCACAAATAGCCAGTGTGTGAGATGTTATCTCTGTGCAAAATGTCCAAACAGATGTTAGTGTTGACCTTAGCGTAAAGGCAAAAAGAAGAAATATGAGACACTGCGGAACATTCAAGAGAAAGTCAAGACTCGTCTCCTTTTATTCCCTGGAAACACCATATATACAAACAGAATCAGCATCTTTAAAAACAATCTCGTTAGAATTTTACAGAATAACATATTTACAAATGTATATTATGATCACAGTTTGAATATTCCACAAAACAAAGAAGGGGGAATCATTGCACAACAGGAGGAAAACAGAAGAATGACAAACATCTCATTACATTGACACTCACACACACACCGATTTATTCATATCCATATTGTGAAACATGATCTTTTCATCAAAACAATGCTGCATCATGGCTAGGTTTCAAGGCTGTGGAAATGTGTGAAAATCCAGGATCAGCAAAATTCTTACAGGTGACACGCTGCGACCAAAACAGTAGAGATGTATTGGCATGCCTCTGAGAATTAGGAAGTATTAATTAGGAAATCCTTTGCAAGTTTCTTTTTGCATAGGTTGTATTTTACTTCTGTCCCAGAAACAGATTTTCGCAGATTCAGCATCAAGCATTAAGATGCATGAACATCCAGATTAGTTTCATTATGAAATAATCAACTGGCTCGATAGAAACAGAAATTTAGATTGATAACACTTTAACCTTACTGAACCTTTTGGAATTTAAAAAGGTTGCTAATTATCAATATCAAGTCGAATCAAGGTCAGTATGTTTACATGCTGATCCCACGTCAAAAGGAAATAAGTTTGGATGAGATAACAGTGGAGGCACGCAAGCACCCACCGCAGTAACATGACCTCAATTCTGGAAACATACATTTCTATTCAGGTAGCGGGCTATTTCAACATAGCCTCAGGATGTAGGGTAAAGGAACACATTAACAACCATTCATGACAAATAAAGGCCTGTTTCTGATCTGCCAAATAAAGAAATGGAGGCCTGTGTTCTGTGACAGCTGCTTCAAAAATCCTGAAAACGTTACTAGTATTGAATCAAGCTAGTGATCTGTTTACGAGTGTGTGTGTGTGAGTGTGTGTGTGTGTGTGTGTGTGTGTATGATTCTCCTAACAGCTGTGAACAAGAGACAGAAGCTGCATGTGTGTTCGACTCTGGTCTAAATGCAAATTAAGTTTACCCCCCATAAATAAAGCAAACTTCATGGTCAATCTTGTGTCAACCTAAAAGCCCCTACAGCTGAAGCATGTACACACATGGCGTAAACACACAAGCTTGCAAGGTTAAAAAGGCACACAAGCTTGCAAGGTTAAAAAGGACGCACGCAGACACACACCATTTGGATATTTCTAAACCAGCACAGTCACAAACAGACATTTAAAACCATATACTGGCACACATTCAGAACAGAAAAAAAAGACAAAATAGTAAATAAAATATAAATCAATGAAAGGAACATTGCACTTTGTCCCTGGATGCATTTCTGTAGCTACAGATCTCATGTCTTCCCTTGGATTCCTCTACAATTGAATTACTTGAACAGACTCATTGGGACAACAAATAAAAAAAAAAAGGGGTGATAGGAATACCTTCAAATGTTTGTCTGTTTCCCCTTCATCAGACCATATGATGCACGCGGTGCAAAGTATCTTTCTACAAGCTTTTAGCATCTCTCTGCCTAGTGTAAGAGGAATGATAATGATGCTAACAAGGGAAGCTGAAACACAAACAGATTTAGATGCTCGTGTCTGATAAAGATAAATTGTTGCCATTTGGTAGAGCATTTGTGAAGAAGAGGCAGACGTATACGTACAAGGTATTTGTTATCTAAAACATGTGAAAACTTTAGGTGAAAATAATCAAACAAATAAAACTTAATTTTAACAGAAATTAAAAGAAATAAAAAATCATATTCAAAATGGCCAAACTCAAGACCAGCTCTACATTTAAACCTTAACATGATATTATACTTGTCATGGATTTTCTTCAGATTGAGGATTCTTCCACGCTGATGGCATAGTGCTGTTTGCTGCAGGCAGAGACACGCTCTGCTTCCTTCAGTGTCGCACCATGGTGCTGATGATGCGAGGCACCTTGCTTCACCAGCTATTTTGTAAGTGCTGTGCAGAGCAAAAGATGAGGAAAAATACTCAGGTGGCACACCAGGTCCCCAACGAGCATCGGCTGATCTGTTTCTTTTTTTGCTTTTGGAGTGCCGTGTCGTCAAGCAGCTTTTCAAAAATAAAATGTGGCTTATTGGCAGACAGGAGACAAGCTGAAAGCAGGGCATGCTGGGGGATCTTGTTTCAGTTTACATGAAGAATAAATATACTTTTTATAGGATGAGTTCATTGGCAAATCATTTTCTGACTACTTCCCATGTCAAATTTGCTATACATTCATGATGATGGATCTTCAATCAACTTGTTTACAAGGCAATTAAGAATGTTCAGCTTGAAACAACCGGCCCGAGGACTTTTATCTTGGCTCAGGGGGAGAGGGACGTTAGCCAGAGGAAGATTTGTTGTGTCAGACGAGGTGTTACAATGTGGATAGAACAACGACAGTTCAAGTAAGTTCAGACAAATGGACAGAGTTCAACAGGGCCTCTGGAAAAAAACAGCCTGAGGTGATACTGGCACTTACAACATTCAATCTGCTCCTTCATGTGATGTGAGAGTGAGGATATCGCAGTCACTTCAAAATGGTACGTTCTTCAAGTCATCCTCGGCCCTTATTTTCCTCTTTCCTGTGACATGGTAGTGTCACTTCCTGCTTACTGCGTCCTCAGGGTCTCTCTGCTGCTTTATGAGCCGCTCAATCTCGGACCCCAGGGTCTGTAGATTCTCCTGTTAAAGAAAATGAAGACTTTTAGACTTAAATGCAACGTTTAATTCGGGATTCCTGAGACGAACTGGTGTGCTGTGACTGCATGTCCAGCATTTTTGCTCTTTCTTACTTCTGTGTCTACAAAAATGGCATTTAAAAGCCTGGATGACATTTACTTTTTTAATAATAAGAGTAGGAACTAACGAAACATAGCACATATTGTCACAACATTTTTTAGAAAGTGCAATCAATATTTAAAAACTTAATGAAAAACAATTATAACAGATTTGAAAATGGCCAAAGCCAAATTACTCATCACGGTAGATGTGAAGCTTTAATTGGGCTTTGAGAGTGTTTTGTTTCATTGTCTCATTATTGTGCCTACGCTGAGTGTTCATTTCTTCCTGCCAATCATCTTTCATCCACAGAAATGAAAGTTGTTGCCGAAAAAGAAAATACTCCCACATTACAATTAACATCTATTGTCTTTTTTTGTTTTTAAAGCATCTAACAAAAGTGTGAAAAAGGAACCTAAGAGAAGCAGTAACTATGAATGAAAACAGGACTATGTAGGTGCAGTGTAATATTTTTATTTTTCAGCTTTCTGATATCTCAATGTTTGAAAGGTAGTTTGTGCGCACTGTATTTAATGTGGATCAAGATAGGTTTGACACGTTCTAGTATCTAGAAATTGTGGACATTGTTCAGTTGTTTTGCGGAACATCGTGCTTGTATTACACTCTTGACAATATACATTTACTTCATTAAGAATTTATAACAGAAGTGACCAACATCTTCTTCATTCGTTTCCACACACATAATTAAATTAAGACTAGTCTATGTCTGGTAAATGTGCATATTTCAATGAGAACTAATTTACACAAGCAAAATAAGTCCCTATTGGTGCACTTAATGTTTTATTTTTTAAGTTCTTTGTTTTTATTTCCATTACATTTCATTATTAAAATCACAGAGCGTTGATCCCTGGCGCTACATCTCTTATAGGTACGTCATTTGGCCGCATCACCTCTTCAGACAGGCTGCTGTTAAAAAACTGAGAGGTGGAAGGGATTCATCATTTCCCACCTACACATCAGAAAATCTGTCCAGTATAAATCCTAAATTCTATTAAATGAATATAAAAGACCCTTAGGACACGGACAAAGCTTACATACACAAGCGCTGAATGGATGCTGTGAATATAGGCTTGAATCCACTATTTCAGATCATGAAGTAGAAAGAAGGAGGAACACGTCTTTTATTAGACCACAGTTCCAATATCTCTCTAAAAGGTTTGGAATATACGAGCCAAATGTGAGACCACCTCAATGGATAGAAAGTAGCAGCTGGCTCGATGTCCACTGTGCTTTGATTAAACTCCCCCATTTATCCACCTTTAAACTATCATATTGATATTGATGTAGTGTTGTTGTTTAAGAATCGGTAAAACATCTTATTTATAACTTATTTCTGCTATATGCGTTTCTATTTCTGTGTCATTTTAATAAGCTAGTCCACTTTCATAAACTTGAATTTTTTTCATGCCTTATGTAGCCAAAATAAACATCAAATAATATTTCAAACTAATTTACATGAATTCATTGTATTTAATGTATAAAGTGGTGAAATTCTTTCTTTTAACCAGTGGAAGCAAGTGGATGGAAATGTTTTGAAAGTAACCCAGGAACAGCTCGTGCTTCTGGATGCGTCTGGTTGGCTGTGATGCCCGAGTGTCATAATTACAGCGCAGAGCCTGAGAAACTAAAGAAGGCTGCCCATCAGTATTCTGCATGAGCAGTCCATACTGTGCTACAGTACAGGCATCCTGCAGGCTCACAGGCTGCTGTGGGTTTGACGTGTTAAAGGAAATGAGCTTCATTTTCTGTATGACAAATTCCAAACCTCTAAATGCCAAAATAAAGTAAAAATATAAATGCTTTGATTAGATGAATGCATGAAAACACACACAAAAGGTGTATTAAATGTAGTATCTGTATATAGCCACTCGGAATGTTCTACTTTTGTAACCTATCAAGAGACTTGGATTGTAAATTAGCATTATTTCTCCATACTGATCTGTATCAGTGTGTCTTCATAAAAAAGGGAAATATATTTGGCCTGAATAATATTATTATAAAAACCTTTACAAAAGAATGATGGACCAAAACATGACAACTCTGTGTGCAATAAGAGCAAATAAACTGCTAATCAAATACATTTTTGAATAATAGTTCTATGAATGAAAAATGCAGTACTTCAGTTAGGGCTGCTCAATTAAAATCGTATTTTAAATCGCGATTACGATTATGGCTTGCAACGATTACGGAAAACAACGTAATCAAAATAAAACGATTATTTTTTTATTATTGCTTTTTTAGTTTTGGTTTTTCTGTTGAATTATACTTAAAGTTCAGGGTAATCAACTGTTAAAAACATACTGTTCACATTTTTTTTTCTCCAATAAATTTATGTTTTCAAAGTAAATGGATAATCGTTTTTAATAATCGTGATATCAATTATTGACCCAAATAATCGAGATTATGATTTTTGCCATAATGAAGCAGCCCTAACTTTAGTACATGTTGTTGTGTTTCTAATCTATGTTACATTCAACCTGACATAATCCCAATGAAAAACGTTTTTACATTTTGATCTGGCTAACATTAACATGATTTTTAAAAGTAGACAGAGACACTTAAAAAGTCAAAGTGGTGCATGACAATGACAGCTAATTAATTACCCTCCGAGGTTATCTAAGCTCGTATAATTAATCACGCACTGCAAACTACACATCATTAACAATACCACCGCGTTGAATTCTACATCCAAAGCTCACTACACTTATCTATGATGCCTGCTTACCTTCAGAGTAATGTTCTTCAGCAGTGTGTCCTCCAACACAGCCTGCAGCTTCCTGTTGATCTCTAGCGACAGATCCAGGGTCAGCCCGCTGTCCGCCGGGTGGGAGGTGTAAAGAGACGCCATGATGCCCCCCCGCCGACTCACGTTAGCCTTGTTAATGTCCGACGCCTCTGATGAGAGGGCCCCCGACTCCTCTCTCAGCACATAGCTCTGGATTATTCTATTGGGAGGGAGAGGAGGACAGGAGTCAAACAGCATTCTTCATAAAGGAGAGGCAAAGGGTGAGTCAGCTGTGGAGCAAAGAAAATTGAAAAAGTAGGATTTATAGGTAGGAGCATGGAGAGCTCCTTCAGAGGAATACAAACCATTTCAAGCAGCAGTGGACGTCTCTAGAATAGTAATTCCAGTGGGATGGCTTGTTGAACTTGTGCTCACAGGACACATTCAGTTAAAAAGATGATTTTTCCGCCAGTCAGAGGAGGAAAGGTAATGAAAAGACAGCTTTGGAATGGGCTGCCAGGATTCAATTAATCAACCGAGAGTGTGTGTGAAAGTGAGATAAATCTTCATGTTCATAATTATTTTTCATCTGAATAACAAAACAGCGTCGAGGTTAAGCTATGTTTGTGTCACAGAGAGGGAAATTCATTAGCGTAATAGCTCCAAACTTCCTGTTGTCCAATTTTCCCAGAGAGAACACTGACGAACAAGTGTTTTTCCATTAACACGAAAACAGACCCAAAGACAGCCTCCATTGTGACTGGAATTCATTACCGCGTGCGTCATTATCATATTTTTGTTAATATGCCACCCCAGAGAAAAGAGAATAATACAAAGCAGTATTCAAGATAAAGGACATGGTTAAGGAAATGAGTGTTCGGAGCTCATCCAGAACATTTCTCCATAAGAATGCTCGCGCAATGCTCCACAAGTTTGGAAATCAAAAGCTTTTGCAATGGCAACTGGGTACTTCATTTTCTCCTGGAGCGTGGGCAGGTGAAGAGGGTTAGGTGCTGCCCTACAGAAAAGGTTAACATCCGCCGGTAAACCTCAGGAGATGGAGCATTAATCAATATTTTAGAACCAGCTCTCGACACAGCTGTTCACCTGAAGCACCGACCTGAAACATCAAGAATACTCAGCTCCATAATGACGTTGTTTAGTTCAGATTCAGGACGTGCACGAGAGAGGCTTCTTAAAAAGGCGGGTAACTGTGGGGTGAGCAGAGGGTCCTGACCCTGAGTCAGATTAGCAATTAGATTACCACTCAGCAATTTCCATCATAGAGCTCATAAAAGGAATGTCAATCCATTTAGGTGAATACATACAGTATGTACTACTACAACCAATTCTACTACGGCGACTACTACTACTAATTAGTCAGAAATACAACAAATACAAATGAATGGCAGGCAGTTTGTGGACTACATTGTTCTCTTTCAATGTTAAGCTACAATATTTGACATGCAATAGGCATTCATTGAAGAGCTTACTGTTTAATTATAGCTTTCAAGTGTAAGTGTTCTATTTAAAAGGAAACATGTTGTGATGGAGATCTTTGAATGGTTGAAAACATGCCAGCCAGGGATATAAGTTTAATATATTTTTGAATATAGCATGCATGAATAGAATTGTAGTATAAGAAGATCAAACAGCTGAATTCTGTTGCACAGACTACTTTATATAAACCATAAGACTACTCTGAAATAGTGTGGATACAATTACAGTGTTAACTCTGACTTTCTCTGTGTTGCCGAAAAAGAAAATCAGTTTCATCCTTTAATATAAAAATGAATTAACCTATTTTCTTCCTTGGTATTCAAAGTCATTAATTTTGTGAACCTGATATTTATGCATGACCTACTGTAGACGTCAAACAGTTTGTTACAGTCTATGTATAATCTAACCAAAAAAATCTGCCATGCAAAAAAATCGAAATGAAACAGTAGCTATGGAAGCACTACAGAAAAAGCCACCATCACAGATTCCCCATCCACAAACACACACAACAGCTGGGCTTGCACAGACATTAAAAAGGGACTTACCTCTGACTAGACTTGCGAGGGTCCATATTTGGACCCCAGTTCCATCACGACAGTGTTTTAGTAAAAACAAAAAAAAGTGACAGAAATTAAAGATGTGGCCACATGGTGCGCTGAATGGCATGCAGAGGCCGGCGGCAGGCAGGGTGTGAGCGAGACAATGACTTCTGTTGGGGCTTGTTAGTATTTTCTTTTTTTCCCAGCAGAAACTAAGCAATGAAGGCGGCAAGTCAAGCATGCAGGAAGTGAAGGTGGCAATTCTGAGTGCAGTACAGCTCTCGAATGACATATTGGAGCGCACTACAGTGAAAGTCCCCCCTCTTAAGGTTGTGCCCAAAAAATGGCAGCACAAAAAGGGAAGATGCAAAAAAAGAAAGATATGGTTTTTTATATGTTTTATCTTTAGAACGACTAATACCATGAATTAAGTCGGGAAATACCAGCTTTATGTTAAAGGCTGCAACCATCTATTTTTAATAAATGTAAATACTTAAGATCAAATTTAAATGGATCTTCCTTTATTAACACAAAAAATACTACACTCTGGCTTATATATCAACGGAAATTAATTATGAAGTAACTGCAGGACAAAGACCCCAGATCACCTTGAAAGGCTCCGTTCTAATATATTTTAAACACATTCAGAATCCTTAATAACCCTCAATGGAGCTCCTTGTGCTGAGCATTGATTACAACTAACAGAGAAAAAGGGTTGCTCCCTAGATAAGTATCCATCTGCATGTAGTGAACAGACGGCCGTTCTCCTCTGGTTTGTATCAGCTTCATTCAAGTCACATAAAAGGCCCATTCAGACTTAATGTTCACCATAACCAGGTGTGGGTATTGAAGGACAGACATCATTACCCTTGAAGGATGATGCCTCTGTTTCTGCATGTTTTAGCTCATTTACTACAAATCACATATACTGTATGCAGTCAATGACCCGTGTTTCCTAGCAGCTGGGGAAATACAATGTATGGCTGAATGATAAGCAAAACGCATCTAAACATAATCATGTAGCAAAAAGTTCCAAAGTTAGTTAGTCACGCAGATAATGCAATGGTTTTACCTACAGTAGTTCAACTTCATTTTCATAATAAATGATGTTCTTTTCATTTGTTTGGCATGACTGATGACTCTAAATACTGCAATACCCATGAGCCTTTGCCCCCTTGACTTTAAGAAGAGGCCATTCAGGTGTGCTCAAAAATAAACAAACAAAGGCTCAGGAGATTTAAAACACTTTCACGTTGCAGGGCCGAATAAATGCAAAAGTGACAGAAAAAGATACCACCATAGAATGAACAACGCCACATTTTTAAAAGCTCTTGAAGCTCTCTGATTGGACGTTTCTAAATGCACGTTCAGACTTTTACCTGATACAAGCTCCCAACTTCAAAACTCTATTATTTATTTTTTTAATTGTGGGTGCACATTCAAGTAAAGAGTGACATTCATTAATAGTAAATTAGCTTAAAGTAGCAAAAACACTGCTGTGATCATACAACAAACAAACTAAATCAAACATCAGCTTTTCTTCCACCAACTGTCCTTTCTCAGAGACCCACTAAGCTTCCACCACTCTGTAAGCGTGAAGCAGGTGATGAACAAAGACACCGTTATCTCATCAGAGTTCACCGGGCTGTCCTGAAGGGATAGGGACAGAAAGGCAAAAAGGACAAATTCACATCCACATCTCCCCCCCCCACCACCCACCACCACACCCGCTTAGCCGAGATTTTACAGAGCTAAATTTAGCTCAACAACCGTGGGATTTGCCCTCAATTTTAAACTCATGAATGTAGGTTGAGGCTAATGGATTCAATACAAGTGTAGAGCTGAGAAAGATATGAGAAGTGATCCAAGTAGAATCAAGCAGGGATTTAATTGTAATCAGGAAACAAGAGACGATTGTTTGGAGTTATCTGATCAATGAATAACATTTGACTAACTAGAGAAAACTGTTTCCATGTTTACTCTGTGTGGTTCTACCCATGAGAGTTTCAAATCATGCCCACTCCACATTTAATCCTGACATTGGTGCACAATCCACTTCAAGGCTTAACCTGTACATAAAGTACCGATGTGATTAAGATAGCTCTAGCGTCCTTCACACTGTCTCTTTAGTTTAGGTGATGGTCATGAATATGGATGGATCATCATTAAGAAGGCATTTTCCCCTCCTGATCAGCTCGACTATAAATAGTTCTGAAGGAAGTTGGTCGCGGAGTGTGCTGCGTGAGTTAAAGACGTGACACACACAGGGAGGTAGGGGGCCATAAAGTGCTTGTTTATGCACTATGCTGTGTTCAAGGTGAAGCAGTACACTTTGGAGCGAGGAATGATGTGCTCAAATATTTGTCAAGGTTGAGCTTTGTTTGGTCATATATAAATAATAAATATGTATAAAAATGTAAATGCAGCATCTAGTTTGCTCAGTGTATCCATGTGCATTCAAATGAATTTCTAAGAGGTTTTTAACATGTGTAATTATTAAGTAAGGAAGTAAGCAAGTCCTTTTACTTTGTTGCCCTTCAACACAGCTGCAATAAACTGCTCTTACTCCTGTCACACTGAAAATCACTATTACATGATTATTTGCTTCTTTTCTCCAATGCAGGTTTCACATAAAATGGCCAAACAAGTTTCCACAGGATGTTTCAGAGTACAAGTACACAAGAGTATTTGGTATGTGACCTCAACGAGTCGTGTTGCGGCATCCTAGACCTCATTCTACCTCGGAGAAACTTTTTATGTTCCTCTGACTTTTCCTGTATAATTTAATGCTTTTTTTTTAATGCATCTATTAAAACAAGCCATGTTAACAACCTTGCAGTCAAAACTGTTTTATTACTGCACTACTACTGTTCCATTAAAACCAGCTTTATGGTCTGAAACACTGCGTCTACAGTACAACTAACCTCTATCAGTATTGTTTGAATATACTACCAACCATTGTTGCAGCAAATACTGACACATAGCAGTTTCAGCTCCGTTTCCTCCACTCACTTGGTCTTTCTGCGGATCTCCTCCACCAGTTGCTTGATGTGATCCTCCATGAACTCGATTTTCTCCTGCTTTCGAGCGAGGGCCTTTTGCAGACGGACAATGCGCTCCACAAGCACGGTCTTGTCCACCTCTGGGTAGTTGTCCACCACCACCACTGAAGGGACCGCCTGGCTGTCAGGGGACCGCTCTTCAACACCACCGCCCCCCCCATGGCGTGTATTCAAAGAGCCTGAGGAATGGAGATCGAGATCAACTTAGAAAACATTGTTTGTCGTTGTGTCTTTGGTCATGTGTCGACTAGCTGTTGGCTAATTTGTTACTACTTTTAAAAATTGCATTTTTACTTTGATTTAAGTGTTAAAGTGCACCTATCATGCTATTTTTAGGCAATAGCATAGGTCTCAGATATATAAAAAAATATAACAAAACATGTCTATGAAGTGTTTTGCTCAAAATAACAAACAGATCACCCATTCTAGCCATGCCTCATATCCCTCTATTTCACTTCCTGTTTCAACAGTGCTGATTTTGTGTATAAAGCTTTTTTTTTAAAAAAAAGAGAGAAATTCATTAAAAAAAAGGAGGGGGCTGAGCTCATGCGGGAGATTCTACCGGCAGATACTGCGGTGATGAAACGCCATATCATTATCAAGGATT